GTGTGGGGAGGGAGGGCAGGGGTGGGTTGGGAACTGGGAGGAGGGGAATTATGGGGGGAAAAAAGAGGAACAAATGTAATAATCTGAACAATAAAGATTTAATTAAAAAAAAATAAAAAAAAATAAAGTTTACATGGCAAGACAAATGGATACCAAGGCATTGTGCTCATTCAGGTGAGAATCCACAAACATTGAAAATACCCACTTCTTAAAAACTTGGGGAGGGAAAGGAGAGTCAACAACCTGTTCTGAACCAGCTAACAAGGAGGCCCTCACTCTGCATTAAGAGTAAATAAATATAATATGAAAGTGTCAGAAAATGTGAAAATGATATCTAAATGAATCATAAAACTTTAATAAGTTGGCAAAGAAGCAAGAACTAAAGCAATCTTAAACGACTTAAATTGGAAACATGGGAAGGAAAAAAATAAGTTATTAATGGCAAAATAAATTTTGGTTCAAAACATGTTTTACTCTTCATCTGGGCCAATTTGGAAAGCTTTCATTTGACCTTAGATTTATCAAGGGTAAGTGTATCGTTCTTCCGTCCAAAGTCCATTAAGAATAAAAACCATAAATTAAGCACATCTATTCTCCAATGTGAATTAAGAAAAGGGTCTAAAAACAGGGAGACCCATATGAACCCTGTGCTAATCAGAATAGAAACATGTGCCACAAAAGAGTGAATCAACCTTTAATTAATGTTCCCAAGCTTAAACCAAACAAAATAAAACAAAAACAGGGGTTTTCTCACTGGAAACTTACTACACAGAGCTTTGACATAGGAAGTCCAAAAGCAAACTAAAAAGCAAAAACTTTTCCAATAAATTATTTGCATTTGTAGGATAAATGAGGCTATCCAACAAAACAATGTGAAAATTCTTGTGTGTGTGTGTGTGTGTGTGTGTGTGCGCGCGCGCGCACGTGTGTTTAAATCAGGGACTCTACACAGGGGGCCAAATATTAGAGTTCAAGGGATTAAAATAACAACAGTTGGTATTTCTGTAGCAAGCCAAGGGCATTCAGATTTCAGTGGTTTTGTAAGAAGATACTCCTGAAGGAAAACTGGCTATATTAACCTTCCAATTTTTGAGAAGCAATCATTCCCTATAGCTATTATTGCTTATTCTAACCTACTAGATTAGTCTAAATTCTAAAAACATCTGCATGATCATCTGAGAGTGAATTTCTCCAAATCTGCTTACAATTACACTAATTTAGAGTTGTTCTGGTGGATTTATTTGGCTACTTATACTGAGTTCAGTATTTCCAGAGCTTTTAAATAGGGACTACTATTTTTTTTAAATACCACAAAGACTAAAATGTCAGCTCTTTATTAACTATACTGGAGAGAAAGGAGGCATGGTTAAATGAAATTCACAAATACTTCAAGTGATTCTTTTTAGTCATTACTATTTAATTCTTCCCTTTTAGTGATGTCTTAACAATTTTCTATTTCTGTCCACAGCATCTTGACATGCTATTATTTAATTTTAATTTTTATTTGTTTATTTTTTATTTTCTTTATTGATTAAGATATTACATATGTGTCCTTATCCCCCCATTGGCCCCCCACTCCCCATATCATGCCCAATTTTTAAAGAAACTTTACTCAAAATGGAATTCTTTATTTTTAATATTGTGATTTGACAGGCTTGAGTCCATCTACTTGATGAAAAGAACAGAGCCAGGGTGTGAGTCAGGGGCTGGGGGTGAGGTGCTTGGGCCTGTGAGCCAACTGCCTTGATTAAAATCCTAGTTCCACTAGGACAGTGGTCGGCAAACTCATTAGTCAACAGAGCCATATATCAACAGTACAACGATTGAAATTTCTTTTGAGAGCCAAATTTTTTAAACTATATAGGTAGGTACATTGTTATTAACTTAATTAGGATACTCCTAAGCTGGCCTTTGCTAAAAACATCCTCAATCTGATTGAGGTACGTTCGCTGAGCTCGACCCCTTCCAACTCTCCCATCCACACTTGTCTTGTATACTTGTTTCATCTATCTCCTTTCCGAAAACTGACTTCTGCGCATGGGCCATGAAGTTTCAATCGCACTGTATGTGCGTGGTATTTTGTGGAAGAGCCACACTCGCGAGCCACGGTTTGCCGACCACTGCACTAGGACACCTGCTCCTTTACCTTCTCCACATCCGTTACCTGCTTGTGCTGTCAGACCATGACAACTGCTATCAATTAGAATCAGTCATTAGATAAATTCTTTCATGGAAGGGTCAGTAAGGCCAGGTAAGATTAAAGGAGAGGCTTGAGGACAGGGGAGGGAATCATATCCATATTATGCTCTATGAATTTACAGGTTACTGCACTTCAGTGATTTATCAAGCAAGTTGAATAACTGCATTTTGCTACAAGTGTTCCAAATTTCTTCCCTTCCCTCTTTCCTTGCTCCTTTCCTTTCTTTCTCCCTTCCTTCTTTTCTTCCCTTCTTTTGACTTTTTTTAAAATAAGAGAATAAAAAAATATTTTTTTAAAAAAGCAATTTATAAATGTTTATTTTCTTAGCATTGTCACCCTGGACCAATCCACTAGAAACTGGAATTATCACAAGAAAGCATGTTCTTTTAAGAATTCATTTTCCAAACAAAATAAGTATGGGTTTAGTAGTGGGTGAAATAAAAAATATTTCAGATTCTTTGTAACATCTCAAAATTATTTTTCAAAAAAAAATGGTTTTGGCAATATCGTCTACATGCCTTTTCCCAAAAATGTCTCCTTCAGAACTGTGGGATGGACAAGTTTAGGGAAATTTAATTTTTTCTTAGTCTAGATTTCCTAATCAAAGTCATGTGAAAGGTACTTTTGAGGACTTATAAACATTTTAAAAGTCTTTTTAGTTCAATTTAGACAAATAAAAATAAGCACTACACAAATAGATACTTGGCCAAAAGGTACATGAAAAAGTGCTCAATACCTTAGTACACAAGAAATGCATATCAAAATGATAATGAAGAGAGAACTACACTAGAATAACTAAAATGAAAAATACTAACAACACAAAACATGGCGAGAATGGGGAGCAACTGGAATCCTTCCTATGTTGCTTATGGGAATGTAATGGAAAAGTTAGGAAAAAACAAACAAAGCAAAAAAAATTAATTATACATCTTTCCTGGGAGCCAGCAACCTTTCCAACTTTTTTTTTCCTCTTTTTGTCAGTAGTGGAACAATCCCCCCTTTTTACTTGCAAAAGGTGAACAGAAAGCTACTATATTTCTCTAGGCCATTTACCTTTCCAACTTTTAACAGTCTTTCCTAACTGCCTGCAGCCTCATCCTTTGAGCCTTCATTACACTCTCACTGATTCTCCCCACTTGCCATGTGGCTTATTCTCCCTTGTAGTTTATTCTTCGTTAAGAAAATATACTGCCCAGTTAGCGTGGCTCAGTGGTTGAGCATCCACCTATGAACCAGGAGGTCACGGCTCAGTTCCTGGTCAGGGAACATGCCCCGGTTGCGGACTCAATCCCCAGTGAGGAGCATGAAGGAGGCAGCCAATCAATGATTCTCTCTTAGCATTGATGTTTCTATCTCTTTCTCCCTCTTCCTTCCTCTCTGAAATCAGTCAAAAAAGAAAAAGAAAAAGAAAACATACTTGTATGTGTTTCTATTCAGGTAGGTGATAACTCCCATAAGGGTAAGCCTTTGCATTCCCCTTACATCCAGAATGGGCTGGACAGCTAAGAGGTGACCTGTAAATGCAGATGCTCCTGAGATTTACACATTCTTCTAAAGCATGCACAAATACTATTAAAAGCAGGCACTAATTTTCAAATGAAAAATAAAGTCTTCCATTATGATGAGTTACCTGTCATTGGGACAGTGACTCGGCAGTGTCCAGTCATGGTGTGGGTTAATGAGGAAACCCCAGGACAGGAAGACGGAGCTTGGTGTCAGAGTGCCAACCACCAGCTGGAGAGGCTTGCGAGAGCGTGTTTTGCCTGCAAAGGTGACATACAGGTTAATTCTGTAACACTTAGTGTATTTTCATGATCGGGGTAAATGCATAAAGATGACTTGGTAAGATGAAGAAAAGTGTGAAAGTATCAATTTCCTTTTATACAATGCACAAATATTACTAATTCTTTGACAATGAATTTAAGCATGAATCAAATGAAATATTCATTTTGATATTTATGTGCGTGTATATGTGTATATATATATATTCATATATGTGTAATATATACATACAAACTATATCCAATTATATCTAATTTTTATTTTCTTGGGAGTCAGGGATGAATATGGAGGTCTTGGCTATTACCAGTAAAATAAAAACACACACATTTTCATATACATATACATACTATATTCACATGTATATATATATATATATATATATGTATGTATGTATATATACACACTCATTCCATTTCTTTTACACACAAAATAAAAACATGCTTTTTTCTCCCTGGGACTGTGAATTAATGTGAAATAATATCTGAGAAAAGAAAGCGTAGCATCTAGGTGTAGGTATATTCTCTCTTTAAAACCTATTTTGTAGTGTAAAATCCCCCTCATGCCATTAAAATAAGAATATTTTTTACAGTGAGTATCTAAATGGAAAATGCAGATACACTTTTAACAATGCTGGGAGTGGAGGAATGACTGGAAGCACAGCTGTTCTGATGGGACTGAGTAGATTTGGGCAATGCTGATAAACCACTGTAGATTCTTTTCAAGTATAGAGAGGCCAGACATTTGCACTTCCAAAAATATGTGAAACTGCAAGAATGGAAACAGTGAAAAAGAGAAGGGAAGATCCTCAACCATAGAATCCAACACTGTCTCATAAAACAGTGAATAAAATAAAAATCCAATAGCAGACCTAATAAAACTGCATAGAGCTAACATAAAACATATGTATTTGTATTCTCATTGGATTACCCTTTCATTTCATGAGACCATGGGTGTTGTATTTGCTATAGGACAAACTTGTGTTATCTTAGTCTAATGCAAGTGGGAGCCAGCGGGTAGGAAGGTACTCATTGTATGAGCTTAGTAGAGCTTATCTTAACCAAAAGTCCTTGGAAATTGTGTCATACTGTTGCTTCTACTAGATTTAAGTTCTGAAAATTGTTATTCCAGTGAAAAAATCTTCTGAGCCCAGAAAATACATAACCTAATGATGACAAACTGCTTCATTGTAACATAGCTGAATTTTTACAAGATATTTGAAATAATTTTCAATGGCAGTTATTGTTTACTTGGTTGCAAACATGCATTTATACTTCTCTGTAGATTTTCCAATCCACCCATCATAGTACCTTGTGTGATTGTGATACCAAGAGTCCAAGTCTGGGAGCCAAGGTGGGCAGATTAAAATCTAAAATGAGGGTAGGGGGCACCAGTAGTTTTAAAGGGCCCTGAGGTGATCCTGGTGTGCCTTTTTCCACCCCTGCGTTGATTTTCACTAATGTAATGTAATACTAATGTAATCTTATTTTACAGATAAATATAACTTTCAACCCACAGAACTTTCAAGGGTGGCCAAGGTCACACCAAAGGCAATTGTAATCTAATTTTCTTTTTACTGCATCATTGGTTTAGCTCACACCTTATGAATATGATGCCACTGAAAGACCACAGATACATTTTTCTTTCACAAGGGAACCTATGGCTTACATGATCCATCAAATAATTATTTCACTAAGTTTGATTTTAATATAAAATGATTAAATAATTAAAATGTATGTGGTAGATGCAAATATAAAATGAATGGAAGTGAATCCATTAGTCATGACATCATCCTCAAATGCAGATTACAAAAACAAAAATGATATCTGCTGCCTGAAAGGAAAGGTGGGGCATTATATCCTGAGCAAGATGAGGCAGTTTCCTGCCCTGGTATCCAAAGTGAAAAATGACTGCTAAGGCCAGTGTCATAGCAGCTCCAAAACGAAGTGAAGTTATGAGGTGCTACTAAGGTGCAATCACCGTCTTGACTTTCCTTATATATTTTTGTATATGTGTAGTATGATCATATTTGCATTAAGAAACAGTTCAATGAATATGAAGCCAGAATCCCGTGGAACCAGACTCTTGCTTCTTGACTTTATTGTTAAATATTTTGAAATAGAGTCTTGAAATATTGTGAGATTATTTATTTTGAGGAGCATGGAAAGCTGCCTGGACAACTATTGTTAACACGTTGTAAGCAGTGATTGAAATTTTCCTTGGACTTTGGGAAAATATAAAAGGTCAGGAAAAGGAATGTGTATTTTTTAAAATGCTTGACTATTTATTGCTTCTCTTAAAAGAAGTGGAAAACACCAGAAGGAGGGGGGAGAGGGGAGAGGATTGTGGCAACTGATTTCTGTGAACCAGATTTGGCTGATTCATCTAGAAGACAGACACACAGCTGCCAGGGACCCCTTGCTGGTCATAGTTAAAGATCTGTATGTTCTCCCCACCCATTTCATACCTTAAAAAATATGTAATGAAAATAAAACAAAACAAAAAAGATCCTTTTATTGTGTGTGTGTGGCATCCAGTGTACTATAAAAGATAAGTCTGATTAGGAAATAATTATTTTGAGAACAGTTCACATTGGAAGACAAGGTCAACTCTACCTACAGAGTTAGGAAGGTGTCATATCAGGTGGTCAATCATATTCGCAGCTATAATTGGTCCCTCATTATACCAATGGCAACTCATTTGATCTGAGAAGACACTTAAGTAGTGAAACTGGGGTAATTTCAAGAAGGACTTTAATCTTTTGATCACATGGAAATAATTTTACTCATTTATTCATATGGCATCTATGTTCCCATTTTGAGACATCCTATCCATGGGAAGATGGGTGTTGCATTGCTGTTTCATAAAAGGAGTTCCTCTATATTTGACTAAATAGAAGAGGTTTAGAAGGGAGAGATCAGGAGTAAATAAAACCTAAGTTCCAGTCTATTTAATCCAACACATATAAATTAATTATGCCTTTGAAATGTAAACAGTCTCCTTCAGCAAAGGTTAGACATCAAAATCTGCCTTCAAAATCTGAAAAGCCCAATAGCAAGCATGAGGTCACACATTTCAAAACAAAGACACTAAGAGGAACAACTCTCAGGGAGCACTTGCTATGAGCCAGGCCTTGTCCTAGGTGTGGCATATCCACAAACTCATTCAATTCTCACAATGGCCCTAATTAGGCAGCAGAAAGGTTCAATATTTGCCTAAAGCCCTGCAATTCACATGTGGTGGTACTGGGATAGGATCCCGAGAAGTCTCCTCCCTCCTCTGCTACTAATCTATTTAGTAGCATGTTTCAACTTCTAAACTGCATTCTTAAGGCCTCCCCAAGGCACTGGGTCTCCATGGGTAGAAAAGAGACAAAAAGCCATGGTTTAGAGTTAATAAAAAACAAAGTGAATGGAAAATACCTGAGCATGACTTCTTTTGACTTGGTGGAGGAGCGGGTCGCACGACAATCAGATATTTAGGCTCTGCATCTGGAAATAATAATAACTTTATCAATAAAATTCTTTGAGAACGAGCAGCATTTGCCACAGCACACCCATGTCCTGACTCAGTGCTCCCAACTTTAGTCATCGTAACCACAGTGGATGAGAGGACCCAGGAATTCAGAAACTTAATACTTCTTGCATAGTTCAATTTAATTCAGGTTTTAAAATGAAAATTAAATCCAGATTTTTAAGACCAAATGGCCAGGGGTAGGGGATAGTTCTTAAAAGAATCTTACTAGACATGGATTTCATGTCACAGCTTCATCAATCCTTTCCCCTGTAGAGAGATTTTTAAAAAATCAGGTCAAATTGATTCTGTGATCCTCTTCCTCACAGAGGCTCATCCTGATGCTAAAACCAGAGATGGAAAATCCCACTTGCATAAGATATATGGTCATGTCACCTGTTGTATGATCTGAAATGGCTCACTTTTATGAATGTATTATTTTGTTGTTTTTAATCCTCTTTTTCCATTGATTTTTAGAGAATGGAAGGGAGACACACACACACACACACACACACACACAGAGGGAGAGAGAAAAAAACATTGATGAGAGAGAGACACATCAACACATCAATTGGTTCCCTCCCGTAAATTCCCCAACCAGGGCTAGGGATCAAACCTACAATCCAGGTGCATTCCCTTGACTAGAAATCAAATGGTGACCCTTTAGCTCATGGGTTGAAACTCTAACCACTGAACACACTGGTCAGGACAACATATGAGTATTTATAATGACCTATTTTATCTTGTTACATAATTTCTCAGCCAGTCTCATATCTAACCAGTCATTTGTGTGAAAAATTTTAAAATAAGCTCACAATTTTAGGTTGCTATGATTTTCACCTAAAATATGCCAATGGGAAATAAATTAATAGAGAATCTGTTTTTAAAATATTTAGGTTTTAAATAAAATGTTTAAATAATTAGTATGTGCTAACTCAATCATGAGCTAATAATTTATCAAATGCTCTTTTTTAAATTGACGTTTCCAAGGTCCATGGTTGGTTTCAATATATGTAATAAAGCAAATACACTTGGGGCATATTAAATAGCATTTTATAAGCAGCTCTACTAGAATTACTAAGTGATGGGTATTATTTATAATAATACTAGTAGCCTTGCGCCCGAATCCGTGCGCCAGTAGGTCGTTGCCGCCCTCCTGTAGCTCTCTGCCCACTGCCTGCCCTCCTCTAGCTTCCCCTCTCCTTGCTCCCCTCATAGCTTGCTGCCCTGCCCCCTCCTGTAGCTCTCCACAGTCCACTTGTACCTCACTGGCCCACCCTCCTGCTGATCCGTGATCTGGTTTTGACATGCTTCATCATTACGCCTCAGGGTGTAACGGCTAATTAGCATATTCCTGTCTTATTATATAGGATATTTCTTCAGTAACTTTGGATCCTGAAACTCATTCTACTCCAAGTTGCATTTAGACACTGTAATCAACAAGAGTTCCCCACCACTTGCTCAGGCACATTGCACATCTTGGTGTTGTGTTCTTTCTGGGTTCACAGAGGCCTTGTCTGTACAGAACTGACCTCATTCTCAGCCAAAGGCAACCTGGAAATTCAACTGCCTTAAATGACTAGAGCCTTTGTTTTTTCCTGGACATCTCACTGCTCTATTTGCTATAACTTGCTGGGTAATTACCATGGCATAAATCAAACCAGGGAACTTCAGGATAAACAGAGTTCTGCCTGTTTATCATCTAGTTGCCTCATGAGCACAGCACAGATAAAGGAGCATTCATTGTGTTTCAGAGTCTCAAGTGTTTGGAAGCAAATCCTGTTTAGTGAAGCTTATGTTGGGAATGCGTTTAATCTAAATCAAGTTTCCTAGTAGAAATACATTAACCATTTCCTGATTTTATTTGGGATATAACGTGACATAGGTATTAAGAAACTACCATGTATTGAGTATTTTCTGTGTGCAGGATAGAGTGGGGCCTTGACTTACGAGTGTCCCGATTAACGAGCTTTTCAAGATATGAGCCATCTCTCGGCCGATTTTTTGCTTTGAGTTGCGAGCTAAAATTCGGGTTACGAGCCAGCTTCAGATACCCCACCGCTAGTTGGCGCAGCGAACGTCACAGTGAACACCACAACATCAGCTCAGCATCACATGTCTCACTCGTTCACTGTTGATTTGACATACGAGTAATTTGAGTTACAAGCTCCATCACGGAACGAATTAAACTCATAAGTCAAGTCCCCACTGTACTTGTTAAGCACTTTACATTCATGCCTTAATTACTCTTCATGGCAATCCTCCCAAGACATCTTATTATCACCCTAATATGTAGATAAGGTCACCGCAGCAGTCAGCTTGATGGGCACAAAACGTGGGCAGTCGCACAGAGTCCTGTGCCCAAAAGGGTGCCAAGCTTTGGTTTAATAACCCGCTGTCACCATATTGAAATTGTTAACACTTTTGTCTTCGACTTTGTGTTTTGCAAGGGAAGTTTGATGGAAGGACGGAGCATGCGAGTGAGCAAATACCGCAACAATATGCATGTCCTCCCATCCACATAGAGCATTCGAGATACCCCATTAGCCCAGCATGTCAAAGGATCCATGATTGTCTGGGAGTTCTGCAACACTCAAAGGTAGAACAATGTGAGTATATTACACCTATGACTGAGTAAGGGCCACAGTTCCCATTTGAACCAGAACTTGATTCAAAGCATAATGAAAGCAATAGCCTTTTAAGAAACACAAATGAGTAAGGAATCTAATTGCATTCTTCCTTACTCATGTTACTTCTTGTATTCACCAACTACTTATGCTGGAAATGATGACGTAGAAGGAATAGTTAGAGCAACCCCTAGTTCCTTTTCTTTTTATTCTTCCACATTCATAGGCAAGTCAAAGGCAGAGTATTGGTAGTATGTGCACGTATCAAGAAACGAAATAAAAAGTTGAGTTACTTTTGTACATTTCCACTACTCTGGTAAGAATGAAATACATGTATGAACTACCAACTACAAATTGTGTAACGTCACTGATACTGCTTTGGAGTTTAAAGCACTTACGTTTGCACTTAAAACTAGCATTGCCCAGTATAATACTAAATGTTAAAATTCATGCTGATAATAAACAAACTTAATTTAATGACATTAAGGAGCAAATAAAATAACACCAGGACAAGCTGAGAGGGAAACTCTGGAAGAAAGGGAACAACTTTATATTTTAGTACCTTTAATGCCACCCCCCACCCCCACTGCTTTTTGAACCAGGAACCCTTCATTTTTATTTTGCACTCGGCCCTGAAAATTATGTCACTACCTTAATCTAGTCCTCAAAATGCCCTTTTACTAAAACTCTGGAATTTACTTCTAGAAAAAAAAGCTAAATCCCTATTTTTCTTAAATTGTCCTTAGTGAGACAAAGCCTCTTCGAGTTAGCCTTTTATTTCCTTCCTTGATACGCATTAACCCAACTATGCCTCAGTGGTTTTTAAGAAGACTTGAAGTACTAGAAAAATAACACGCATGATCCAAGACATACAAGCAATTTAAAAGTAATTTTTGTTATGATCCCAGTCATTTTGTATAAAGCAAAGGCAGTTACAGCCAATTACAAATTGGAACAGATGTTGGAATCTGGGTGCACATGTGGCCCTCTCTGCTCATTAAAAACTTTTAGTGTTCATGGATTTCAGCAGTGTTTGCATTTGAGTGGTAACACAGATACGGAAAAATAAAACAAGTGAAAAAGAAGATTTCTATTTCTGATCTGAGCTATGAAATTCTTTGTGGGTTTGTAGCAACCTGGAAATATACACAACAGTAGCCTGATCAGAAATTCTGGTGAAACATGCCAAAATACATGACTTTTTCATTTAAAACATGTGTTAACTAAAATGTCAATTTAAGAAAATCGTGTGGAATGCAGTTACCTTAACAAATGTTCCTTTCCTAATAGTTAAGCCTGTAGTAGACTATCTCTAATTTGCTTAATATTTTAAATGCCCTATGGTACACTATAGAGGCAGTTTACTGTTTGGGGAAATCTACTATTGAAATCCTTTATAAGGTACTAGAGTTTTTTATTATATAAATAATCCTCCCATAATTGCTGTGTTTGACAACTTCCAATTCTCTCATTTTTTAATAGAGGACATCTGCCTTGTAAGCCACCTGCTTTAGGATGCTGTCACAGTGCCGTTTGTTTCTGCCACATATATTTCCACACGACAACTATAAAATAAGCCAGATGATCCTAAAGAAAATCAGGTAAGGGGCATGAAAAAAACACACACCATATTTACTATGCCATCTTTTTTCGCAATTTGGTTTCATGTCAAACTATGGCATAAGAGTGTGGACTCTGGAGCCTGGGTAATCCTGCTCAGCTACTTACCAGTACAAGGTGAAGTACTTCACACCTGTGCACCTTAGCTTTCTCATCTTCAAATTGGAAAAAATCATAGTACCAGTCTCATGGGGTTCCCAGGGCCGAGTAGCCTACAGACCGCCTCGCACACAGGAAGTGTTCATGTAACTTTAGCCCTCATGATGACGAGGATGATTTCTTGAAGCAGTTTGTGCCTTAAGAGGCCCCGGGGACATATTAGAAGTAAGGAAAATCTTCCAAACCGCTTGTTCACAGATTCCAAAATACAAAAATTTCATAGAAAAGAAAATTATAGGCCATACTGATAAATATTCTGCCCTTGACCCATATTCTCTTCTTCCGAGCTTTCTCAACTAGGCTCTGACTGTTAGGATTCTGTGTTCATCTCTGCATTGTCCAGTTTTAGGGAGAATCCTGCTTAGATGGTTTAGCCAAAATTCCCCATCCTCCATACTTCATCACCAATGATACCTAATCAGGTTCTGATCCTTCACCATCCCTTCACCATCTCTTAACCTTAACCATCCCTCACGAGGTATCTGATCAGCCTGGCTTGCCTTCAGCAATAATCTGTTAGGTCAGTTTAACCAGAATTCCTCTTACACGTGATGTTTCCCCTTAGTAATTTT